CAGCTTTTAGCTTTGTTGATTTTTGCTATGGTCTCTTTAGTTTCTTTTGCATTTATTTCTGCCCTAATTTTTAAGATTTCTTTCCTTCTACTAACCCTGGGGTTCTTCATTTCTTCCTTCTCTAGTTGCTTTAGGTGTAGAGTTAGGTTATTTATTTGACTTTTTTCTTGTTTCTTGAGGTAGGCCTGTAATGCTATGAATCTTCCCCTTACCACTGCTTTTACAGTGTCCCATAGGTTTTGGGTTGTTGTGTTTTCATTTTCATTCATTTCTATGCACATAGAATACCTTTCTTCTTGAATAAGCATTTCCATGATGATACATAATGGATATATCACACTTCAAATGGCTCACCAGAGTTCTTTTTTCCATGGACAAATAAGTGTTCTTCTGAAGAGGAATTCTGGCAAATAAAATTTTTGCCTTCTTATCTCACGAGATTTTATGAGTTGTAGACAAGTTTTCCTAATAAAAACTTTTTTATACCTATACATTTTTCATTTTCCTATTATATTTTGGTCACCCTTAGCAAGGCAGCAATGAACTAAGGACATACATGAAATGAATAACCAGCAGTTGGTCCTTCAAGAGCTGTATGCAAAATGGTGATCTTAATGAAAGAAGAGGGAAGCCTTAGTAAATTTCTTAGACCACTAGGGCACCACTGAGAACAATAGTGAAACAGTGTCTTTATGAAGTCAGCAAAATGAACCACAGCACACTACAGTGCCATGGCTTCCTATTGAAAGAAAAATTAAAATGAGATGAATAACTGGGCTGTCATCTATTAAGTGTTTGCACATATGGCTAATGGCCTACATTAGAATTCTAACCAATCTGTACACTTCTATAAATAGATTAAGAAGCAGCTCCTTTGTTTCTTTCTCAAGCTTGCAGTCCTTGGGCCAAATAGGATATCTTAAAGATGATGGTTGGATCCATTAAGCACCTGTAGGTTCATGAGTCCTAGGTCTCCTGTACATATCATTCTGTCTGTGCTAATTAAAATGATATAGAATGATTTTGTAATATTTTACATAGGTTTATTTGTATATACTAATAGCATATGGTTCCCATTTTAAAGCTGTTTTACAGCAAATAATTGTTGTGTTTTGAAAGAATGATATTTGAGGTGGACCATATTGTGTTTGTTTTTTCTTTAAACATTTTATTGTGTATTGAGTATAGGAGATTAATAATGTTGAGATAGTTTGGATAGCAAAGGGACTCAACCATACATATACATGTATCCATTTTCCCCCAGGACATGTTTTATTTATCCATTTTCCCCCAGGACATGTTTTATTGTTACGAGTGAAATCAAAAGGGTAACACAAAGGCAGTAGGATAACTGAATAGGTAAAAGGTCAGTGAAATATACTAGACCGATCTCTGACCACTGTAAACAGAATAGCACAGGACTCTCTCAAGCAAATGTGGCACAAAGAAAGCCTCCTGTAAGAAGAACATAGTTTAGATACATTCTGTATGGAGTAGTTCCTTTTGCCTAAAATTAAGCCTGAAGTCATCTCTTTTATTCTAATATCGGTTTATAATCTTCCAAGGCTACTGGTAAATTGTAATGCTATAGACTGAATTAGAATTATAATGGCTAATTGTGAGTGTTTTGTTATGATTTGAGGTGGACAGTACTATATTTAAGGGCTCAGATGGTAAAGAATCCACCTGCAATGTGGGAGACTTGGGTTTGATCCCTGGGTTGAGAAGATCCCCTGGAAAAGGGCTGGGCAACCCACTCCAGTATTCTTGCCTGGAGAATCTCGATGGCAGGAGCCTGGTGGGCTACCGTCCACGGGGTCATAAAAAGTCAGACACAACTGAGTGACTAGGCATAGCACGACACATACTGTATCTGAAGGCTTCCCAGGTGGCACTAATGGTAAAAAACCCACCTGCCAATTCAGGAGACATAAGAGATGTGGATTCAATTCCTGGGTCTGGAAGATCCCCTGGAGAAGGGCATGGCAACCCACTCCAGTATTCTTGCTTGGGAAATCCCATGGACAGAGGAGCCTGGTGGGCTACATGTAGTCAATAGGGTTGCAAAGAGCTAGATGCGACTGAAGTGACTTAGCACACACACATGTATATTATATTTGAAAACCATCCTGCAAGTAAAATAAAAGAACTTCTCTTCTGAAATAATACAATTACATTAAATTTCAAAGAGATCATTTCCTAGATGTCTAAATACTTGCTCTTTTCATTTTTGTGAAATCCACAAATTTAATCTGTAACTATTACCTAATATGGCTTAGAATATGCAAGTTGTGGGTAAGAAACTTCTATGGTTATGGTATTTGGACACTCCAGCTATATGGGCTGTAGAGTCTTCTACTTCATATAGTATGGTAAATAAAAGCAAGGTTGAGGACAGAAATTTTAACCTTGGACATGCTTGCATCTTGTAGATTCCTTTGTATACTAGTCTGTATAATTATCGAGATATAGTCACTGTTCAAAAAACAGTGTTTAAAACAGTGTTTTAAACTTCTTTTAATATATCAAAAGAAGTATTTCCTTTGATTGAGTAAAGAAAATTGTACATACCACAATAACCTGAAAACCTAGAGGCTCTAATCAAAGCATTCAAAACCTAAGAAATTAAGGAAACTATATAGAAAATTTAATCAACCCCAGGATTTATATTTCTATGGATAGCCGGTAGCTGTGCATTCTCATTTACATTGACAGTTTCTGTTGTTTAATTAAAGGGTTTAGATGATTTGCTTTAATTACTAATAGCGTTGGGTTTAAACCCAGAATCTTGCTGGTTATTTTTATTTATTTCGTCTCTTCTGTGTTCTGTTTTCCTTTTTCTTTCCTTCTTTCCTTTCCTTTATTTTTATTTTTAATTTTTTTATTGAAGGATAGTCAATTTAAAATGTTGTGTTAGTTTCAGGTGTACAGCAAAATGATTTATAAATTCTTTTGTACCATTTTTTAGATTCCATGGATAAGCGATATCATATATTTGTCTTTGTCTGAGGTAGTTCACTCAGTATGATAATCTCTAGGTCTCTACTTACCGCTTCAAATGGCATTATTTTGTTCTTTTATTTTATAGCTGAGTAATATTCTATTGTATATATATATGTGTGTATATACATATGTATATACCACATCATTTTTATTCAGCTGTTGATGGGCATTTAGGTTGTTTAGATGTCTTGACTATTATGAATATTGCTTCTGTGAACAGTGGAGCACATGTGTCTTTTTAATTAGAAAGTTTTTGTCTTTTCTGGATATATGCCCCAGGGTGCTGGAGCATATGGTAACTCTATTTTTAGGTTTTAAAGGACCCTCCATACTGTTCTCCATAGTGCCTGCACCAATTTACATTCCCACCAACTATGTAGGAGGGTTCCCTTTTCTCACACCCTTTTCAGCATTTATTACGTGTTTGTAGACTTTTACCAATGGCCATTCTGACTGGCGTGAAGTGATACTTTGTTGTAGTTTTATTTTATTTTATTTTTTTTTGTTTTAGCCTCTAAGTTTTTATTAACATGAGTTTCCAAAAACAAGCATCCACATTAGTGTGGGGAGTGAGGGTGGGAGGAGGGGGAAGGGCAGGAAGAAGGAATTCTGCTCTATTGGTAATAAAGCTCCAGGTTCATCCCATCGTGGATTTCATAGTCCCCCAGAGACACGTGGTCCTTAAAAATTGTGTACCACTTCTTCAATATGATCTTGTTCCAACGGGTGCCAGTTTGGGCTGCGATCAGCTTCTTAAGGTTCCCGATGGTGTCATCCGTATTGCACTTAATGCGCACCTTCTTCTCTAGACGGTCGTTGCCAACAACCTTGATCATCCTGGCTGGAGCAGTACAAGGCGGGGACCGGGAGGCACCTGAATTGGGACTTCAGGGGTCCCCTCAAATAGCCTGGTAGAAGCAAACGCCACAACCTCCTGGCACTGCTGCTGAGACCAGGCCAGAGTCGCCGCTGAGAACCTAAGCTTGTTGTAGTTTTAATTGGCATTTCTCTAATAATTAGTGATGTTGAGCATGTTTTCACGTGCTGCTTGGTCATTTGTATGTCTTCCCTGGAGAAATGTCTATTTAGATCTTCTGCCTATTTTTTGATTGGGTTTTTTTTTTTTTAATTGAGCTGTATAAGCTGTTTGTGTATTAGAAATTAAACCCTTGTTGGTCGCCTCATTTGCAAATATTTTCTCCCATTCTGTAGGTTGTCTTTTTGTTGAGTTTATGGTTTCTTTTGTTGTGCAAAAGCTTTTAAGTTTAATTAGGTCCCATTTGTTTATTTTTGCTTTTATTCCCATTACTCTAGGAAATGGATCCAAAAAAATATTGTGATTTATGTCAAAGAATGTTCTCTGTTTCACCCTAGGAGTTTTATAATGTCTAGTCTTACACGTGTCTTTAATTAATTTTGAATTTAATTTTGTATATGGTGTTAGAGAATGTTCTGATTTCATTCTTTAATCTGTAGCTATCCACTTTTTTTGGCACGGGTTATTGAAGTGTCTTCCCTTCTTTTGATTATTTTTGATTACTCCATTTTATCTCCAGAAATGATTTAACACCCCTGATGGCTGCACCTTTGCCCCTTCCATGCCCTGTCATGGACAACTACTCTAGTATATTTGCTATAGGTCCTCAAATATACATGTGTGCATGGAGAATCCCAGGGACAGAGGAGCCTGGTGGGCTGCTATGGGGTCTCACAGAGTTGGACACTGCTGAAGCGACTTAGCAGCAGCAGCAGCAGTAGCAACCTTGTAAATGAACTTTACATGCTCGTGTTTTTAAATTATGCAAATTGCATCCTATAAAATACTTTAATACTTTATATACTTTAACATACTTAAAGTATATTTTATTTTTTTATTTTTTCTTTAAAGTATATTTTAAAAGACTTTAATATACTTCTATTTTATTTTTAGTGGTTGCTCTAGGATTTACATTATACATGTTTAACTTATGATAGTCTGCCTTATGATAGTCAAGTGATCCTATATTAATACCACTCCGTGATGAGTATAAGGATCTTATAGCAGTTTGCTTCCATCACCCTCCTCCTGTTGGTCTTATTTATTTATTTTTTTTCTGTTGGTCTTATTGTCGCTAATGTGTTATAAATCCCACAAACACTGCTGTTATTTTTGCTTTAAACAGTCTGTGATCAAAAGATTAAAAATGAGAAAAATTTTTTGTATTTATCTATCTATATGCACACATATATTGCTCCTTGTTCCTTTGCATAGATTTATTGTTTTTATAAGATATCATTTTCCTACTGTCTTCTCTAAAACTTCCTGTAACATCACATAAGGATCTGTAAATGAACTCTTTCCCTTTTTGTTGGTCTGGAAAAAGTCTTTATTTCATCTTTATTTTTGAAAGATTTTCTTCTAGATATATAATTTCATGTTAACAGAACTCTTTTCCCTTCAGTGCTTTAAAGATGTTATTCATTGTCTTAGATCTCTGATGAAAAATCTCCTGTCATTCATTCTTATCTTTCTTCCTCTGTACTTATCTTTCTCTAGCTGTTTTTAAGATATTATTTTCTGTTTTGTTGTTTCTCATCAGTTTGTTTATCATATTCTCTGGTGTGGTTTTCATGTTTATCTGCTTGTGGTTTGTTGAGATTCTGACTCTGTGGGCTTAGAGTTTTCATCAGATTTGAAAAAAATTCATTGGTTATTTCTTCAAATGCTTTTCTATTCCTCTCTGCCTTAGTGGAACTCTAATTATGCATGTATCAGACTGCTTGATATTGTGATTTTTTTTTTTTTATATTCTGTCCAAAAATTTTATGCATCTCTGCTTTCCAAACTCTGATCTCAGTGGAATCACTGTGCTCTGTTTAGGCTTCTCTCTCTAAGGGCTTTCCTGGTGGCTCAGGGGTAAAGAATCCGCCTGCCAGTGCAGGAGACACAGCTTCAAGCCCCGGGTCAGAAAGATCCCCTGGAGGAGGGAACGGCAACCCACTCCAGTGCTTTTGCCTCAGGAATTCCATGGACAGAAGAGCCTGGCAGGTTACAGTCCATGGGATCACAAAATAGTTGGACACAACTCAGCGTGTCCAACTAGACAACAACAGCTCTGAGCCGTAGCCTGGACCTGTTTCCAAGTGGTGATCTGGAGCAACCGAAAGGCTCGCCCGGTTTGTTTGCCTTCACTCAGAGATCAGGGTTCCATGCTCTGAAAACCATTGTTTTTTGATTTTTTGTTTTGTTTTTCCTACTTATATATGGCAAGAAGGCAATTCACACAGCATTTAATCCTTCACAGGTAGAAGTTCCCCCTGTTTTATTTTTGAACAATTCATAAAATTCTTTTAAAAAACTGATTTTTCATAGTAAAAATTAGAATATATGAGTATCATGAACAAAATGTATTGCATTTAGGGTAAAATCCAGCATGCTTTCTCTGACTTAGAGGCCCTGCATGATTTGGCCCCTTCTTTCCATTATAGGTGTCCCTTTTACTACTCTTTCCTCCACTCAAACCCTCCAATGATACTAGCTTATTTTATCCCTCCAATCTACCATGCATGCTCTGGCAGGCTTCTCCCAATCATCTCTTGAGCACCTCTTTGTCATCATTTACATGCAGGCTTGAATGCCACTTACTGATTCTTTTTTTCTTTTTTCACACGACTCGTGTGTGTGAAAAAATTGTTTTCTTGTTGTATTGTGTCATAGTATCCTCTCGTTTTCCTTTACAGCACTGAACATAATTTTTAGTTATATTTTTATTTGTATGCTTTTCTTTTTGTTTGGAGGATAATTGCTTTAAAGTGTTCTGTTGGGTCTGCTACACAACAGTGTGAATCAGCCGTAAGTATATATATATCCCCTTGCTTTTTCGCCTCCCTCCCTCCCACCCTGTATGCTTATTTTTAATTGTCCATCTGGCTGATAGACTGTAAGCTCCAAGAGGGCAGTGAACTGGCTATTTTGTGTATCTGTAGAATGCAGAGCCTGTATCCTATGCTCTGGCATATAGTAGGTACTCAACAGATAATTGTTGGCTGGCTGTTGTGCAAACTGGGTAACGGTGAATTCTGTACCTTGTAGGATGTAGGATGACAAATAGGCTCATTCTTCTTTAATTCCAGTAAGATACTTAAGTGTCACAGCATCTTTGTTATTATAATGTCCTAAGAAGCTGGATTTGAGGGGTAAAAGCAAAAGGAAATGTCACTTTTTGGTATTTCTGTGCTTTCTGTATTTATTACTGTTAGTTGCTGTAATCTTACGGTTTTAAAAGTATAGCACAAAAAATCTACCATAAATGTTCTTTTACCTTTTCTCATTTTAAAATAAAGGCTATTGCTCTTAGTTATTATAAGACGTTCTAATTATAGAAAATTTGGAGAGTAAAGAAAAGTTTTCTGAAAGTTTCCTTGTTATCTCTTATTTTTTTTGTTGCTTCTTAAACCTCTTCCCATCTTTTTTTGGTGTGGGCTGAAGATTTTAGCCTTGACTTTCTTCTTCTCACTGGGACTCTTTCCTTAGACTATTACCCTTGCCCTTAATTTCTCTTTCATATGTATGTGTGTGTGTGTGTGTGTGTGTGGGTGTGTGCATAAAATTTTTTTAGTGTGGTAATTGACATATGTGGGCTTCCCTGGTGGCTTAGCTGGTAAAGAATCCACTTAAAATGTGGGAGACCTGGGTTTGATCCCTGGGTTGGGAAGATCCCCTAGAGAAGGAAACAGCTACCCACTCCAATATTCTGGCCTGGAGAATTCCACGGACTTCTGTGGGGTCACAAAGAGTTGGACACAACTGAGTGACTTTCACTTTCACTTTCTTTCAATTGACGTATGTACACTGCTGTGTGTGAAGTAGATGGCTGGCCAGGGCCTACTGTACAGCACAGAAGAAAACAAGGAAGGTACAGTCTGTTTGTAGGACACATATTAAGTTAATTTTAAAAGTTCATTCCAGTATACATGAGGTAAGACAAGTGTATATTTTTAATCATAGTTTTTGCTCTAGACTCCAACCTCATGTATCCATTGGCAATTTGACACCTCTGTTTAGAGATCAGACCTGTGTCCAGAAACAAATACATCATCAGTCTTCTAGACTGATTCCATGTCTATCTCAGTGTCTGATACAACCACCTGCCTAGGTGTCCAGTCTACAAACATAGACTTTATCACGAGTTCCTCTTTCCCCTTCCTTATAGCTCTATCACTTTAACCAGTTCTGTCACTTTAACCAATCAAATACCTTTTATCAGTCTTTGTCTCCATCTCCACTGGCTGAGCTATAATCACCTCTCACCTAGAAAGCTGCTCCAGTCCCTGACTGGTCTCTTTCATTATTCTTATTTCCTTTCTTTCGTTCTGCACACTGCAGCCAGACAAATCTTTGAAAAATACACATTTTAACCCTGTCCAGAACTCTTCAATGGTTTCCCACTGAAGTCACAGTAAAGATAAAAAAAATCCTAGTCTATTAACTACATAAAGCCTCCACCCATTGTTCCTGTGCTTTCTCTTTTGCTCTTTTTATTCTTTGCAATTATGCTAGACTTTTAAAAAATTAATTCTTATTGAAATATAGTTGATTTACAGTGTTGTGTTAGTTTCTGTTTTGTAACAAAGTGAATCAGTTATACATACACACACACACACATATAACCACTGTTTTTAGATTCTTTTCCCATGTAGGCCATTACAGAGTGTTGAGCAAGGTTCCTTGTGCTTACAGTAGGTTCTTACTAGTTACCTGTTTTATATATGGTGGTGTGTATATGTCAGCACCAATCTTCCAGTTATCCTTCCTGCCCCACTTTCCCCCTTGGTAACCACAAGTTTGTTTTCTACA